TGCAGCCTGCGCGTGCGCGCTGCGGCGCTGCGGGTCTGGCTGGAGGGTGTCTCCTGTTACCCTAGATTTATATGTGTGGTGTGTGTGTTAATGAAAGCAATAAGATGAATGTAGAGGAAGGCTCCTTGTCTATGTGCTGCACCATGCTAGTGTATTAGGAAGATGACCTCCCTAGAGGCCATCTGCCCCTCCGTGGCCTCAGCTATGTCAGGAATGCTTGCGGGAACAGGTGGTGGGGGGGGGATTTTGAAGCAACTTAAATCCGATCTTGGTCCAGATAGATAGGCGGCGCGGATAATCCTGTATGCCCTGACAGATGTGGGGGTGTGGGGTGGAGCCCAACGCCTGCGGGGCGCGGAGGATGGTTGGCCGGGGCTGCCCTTCTGCAGACGTGGCTGGTTGTCTGTGCCTCTGCAGCTGCGCGGCCCCGCCGGCCCCCGTGGGCGCGCACACCTAAAAGTGCTCATTCATCCTGCGCCACAGAGCCAGCCCCCGGGCCAGACATTTCCTCTTCACCGCCCTGGCCACGTGCTTCCTGTCCTGGGAGCTGCCCGGAAATCGGGCGGCCTGGTCTAAAATGGTATTCTGGAGCCTGAGTGCTGGACAAACGGCCTCCTCTCTGTCTTGGTCCTTCACAGGAGAAAGCCCTGACTAAGGTCTCTCCTTGGTTTACAGGGGGAAAGGAAATTCAGTAAAAGCAATGTAGAGCGAAACATACAGTGGTTGTCCCCTAGAAAAAAAGTTTTATATTTTAATTTGTTTTAAAGAGGCAATTAGCTGCCTGGCTGGTGTGGCTCAGTGGTTGACTGAGCCAGTCAGGGTACATGCCTGAGTTGCAGGCTCAATCCCTGGTAGAGGGTGTGCGGGAGGCAGCCAATCAATGATGTTCCTCTCTCATCAATGTTTCCATCTCTATCCTTCTTCCTCACTCTAAAAAATCAGTGAAAACATTGTTAACCCAGGCAACTAGTAAGACTAAGATTCCATAGGTGTATTGTTCTGCTTCACAGTCAATCTTGGATTAGTTTCATCATGGTTTTTCTTTTTTTCTCTTTTCAACAGCGTGAGTGCATCTCCATCCATGTTGGCCAGGCCGGTGTCCAGATCGGCAATGCCTGCTGGGAGCTCTACTGCCTGGAACACGGCATCCAGCCCGATGGCCAGATGCCAAGTGACAAGACCATTGGCGGGGGAGATGACTCCTTCAACACCTTCTTCAGTGAGACGGGCGCTGGCAAGCATGTGCCCAGGGCAGTGTTTGTAGACCTGGAACCCACAGTCATTGGTGAGTTGATCTCAGGGTCTGGGACAAGAGGTGTGTCCTGGGGGCTCTGTTGAGGCCTTGGGGTTGAGCAGGCTGTGCAGGTTAGTGATGGGCGGCTGCTTTGTTTCCTTTTTGCAGATGAAGTTCGCACTGGTACCTACCGCCAGCTCTTCCACCCTGAGCAGCTGATCACAGGCAAGGAAGATGCTGCCAATAACTATGCCCGTGGACACTATACCATTGGCAAGGAGATCATTGACCTGGTCCTGGACCGAATTCGGAAATTGGTATGTTTCTTCTCAAGAATAAAGAAATTAATAAGCCTAAGGAAGACATTTTTTAAAAGTGTTTCTTGTCAAAGTAAGATTTATATCCTTGGAATGTATGAAAAGTGAAAATACATCACAAAAAGCAATAACGATGTTTCCTCTATTCTTTTCTAACAGGCTGACCAGTGCACAGGCCTTCAGGGCTTCTTGGTTTTCCACAGCTTTGGTGGGGGAACTGGTTCTGGGTTCACCTCCCTGCTGATGGAACGTCTCTCCGTCGATTATGGCAAGAAGTCCAAGCTGGAGTTCTCCATTTACCCGGCCCCCCAGGTCTCCACAGCTGTAGTTGAGCCCTACAACTCCATCCTCACCACCCACTTTCTGTAGCAGAAATCACCAATGAGTGCTTTGAGCCAGGCAACTAGATGGTGAAATGTGACCCTTGCCATGGTAAATACATGGCTTGTTGTCTGTTGTACCATGGTGACGTGGTCCCCAAAGATGTCAATGCTGCCATTGCCACCATCAAGACCAGGTGTACTATCCAGTTTGTGGACTGGTGCCCCACTGGCTTCAAAGTTGGCATTAATTACCAGCCTCCCACTGTGGTACCTGGTGGAGACCTGACCAAAGTACAGCAATCTGTGTGCATGCTGAGCAACACCATAGCTATTGCTGAGGCCTGGGCTCACCTGGACCACAGGTTTGACTTGATGATTGCCAAGTGTGCCTTTGTCCACTGGTAAGTAGGTGAGGGCATGGAGGAAAGAGAGTTTTATGAGGCCAGTGAGGACATGGCTGCCCTTGAGAAGGATTATGAGGAAGTTGGTGTGGATTCTGTTGAAGGAGAGGGTGAGGAAGAAGGAGAGGAATACTGATTCCTTTCAGCCCTGCAACATGTCATACTCAGAACTTCCAGGTCCAACAGCTGACAGGCATTAAAGCTTTCTGGTTAGATTTTCTTCGCTTTTACTTGTGATCATGTCTGCCTTTTTTTCATGTATACCTGTACGATTTTCCCTTCATGTTTAAAAGTAAAGGCATGGAGAAAGAAAGTTTGACTTCTGTCCTTTTTCCTAAGTTGCTTTTTCTATACTTGTAGGATAGAGACAGCAATAAGGTGGTAATACTGAACTGTCTAGCTACCTCTATGAAGAGAAACGAGCACACTGGTCTGGAAAAGCAGAGCTTGGTTCTAATGTACTGAAAGTCATTCTGTTTCTTGAAATTATTGGGTAATGACTAATGAGTTAGCAATAACAAGTACGGGCATTCCT